GGGCTCCGGTGGGCCCAGGGCATTGGTGGGTCGGACTTTGTCCGGTGGCCCAGCAGCCCAGCTCCATGCACCCACGTATCTGGTTCTGTGTGTGCACACATGTCTGGTTCTGGATGTGTGTGTGCATGTGTCTGTTCTGGGTGTGTTCTGGTCCTCGGTGTTTGTGCACATGTAGTTCTGTGTGTGTGTAAATGTGTCTGGTTCTCTCTGCTCCCCTTTATCTTTCTCTCTCTTTGTCCTCTTTTTTCTTTCTCTTTCCTTCTTTTTATTTCTCTCTCTCTGTCTCTCTCTCTCTCCTCTTTCTCTGATTTCTCTCTTTTTTTTCTCTCTCACTGCAACATGCAGGTAGGGAAGCAGTGGGGTGGAGGGAGCTGCACAATAACAAGGAACCCAAATCTTGTTCCTTCCCAAGGAACACACAATAACAAAGGCAACATTTATGATTATTAAATAAGCTAATATTCAGTGCATCCTGCCATGTACCCTTCCCCACCATTTTATTTTTCTGGTATGCTGGCACTCCGGCACCTTCCAAGGTAGACATTGTGGTTTTTTCGGTATTCCGGCCAAAATATGTTGCCTACCCCTGCTATAGGGGTTTCTATTTTACATGCCAGTTCATTCAATATTTTGGAGAGTGATAATCCATGTACTCTGATATCATCACAAGTAAGCAATCTGAGTTTTGTTTCCATCACAGATGTGGTGATTTTCACACCATACTCTCATTTCCATTTGGTATTCAGTCTTATTCTCATATACATACTCAACCTTGATACCTTACTAAAGACTGAGACAAAGTATTTATTCAACACTCAGGCCATACTTAGATTACCCTTGATTTTCACCCTATCTTCATGGTATCTAGGCCTCATGTTTTTCCTCAGATTGTTTATTTATTGGAATGAAAAACAATTTCAATTTATTTTGATTGTCTTTGCAGGTTCCAACCCCACTAAAATTTGACCATTTTCACTTTATTTCTGTACTTTCTGACTCCTGAAAATATTTTTCTGTACTGATCAATGTCTTTTTCCATTTTTCCCTTTTTGTACATTATCCGCTTGCTCCTTATGTCTTGTTTAAAGTATTCTTTCCTCCAGATAGGTTTGTAGTACACCCTTACCAATTTCCTCTTCTAGCTTGGGATTCAAGCACCAGATAATGTTTGTATTTTGCCTTAAAATAATTTCTGTTGCATTTAAATCCATGAGCTCCATAACCTCGTTGGCCTTTCTAATATCCTTAATTTCTCAGTTTTCCTTCATTAAGTCAAAAGTCTAGCTATTGAGCTATTTTTGACTGAGCTCATAACAGTTCTTGATCATTTAAAGATTATTTTTTAAGCTAGTGCTTCTATAATATTTTTGCTGCTTTCAAGGAACAAATCTAAAATATCATTGCCTCTGATGGATTCAGTGAGCATTTAAGAGAGAAATCTACCAGCTGTCTCATCATGAAATATCATGTCATGCCATTATTAATTGCATCCTATATCTATCTATCTATCTATCTATCTATCTATCTATCTATCTATCTATCTATCCCTTCCTGGCTTCCATTTTCATTGTCAGTTCAATCCAGATGCTCTTCCAGATGGTACTTGTACATTCAGTACCATCTACCTTATATTTAGATAGCAAAATGAGTCACCTGCCTCATTGTGTGAACTCAGATTTGACTCCTGGTGGTAGGTTGGGTTGTTTTATTCAAACTGGTCATGAGTTACAGTTCTCTTCCAAATTATGGCTGGCAAATTAAAAAAGCCTCATACACTTGCTTTTCTCAAACTCCATGAGAAGAGAAACTTTGTGTTAAAAAAATCATGCTTTAGAATATGCAGTGTTAAATGTTATCCAGAATGTAGAGTAGGGTTTTGTTTTGTTTAAAAAAAAGAACTTAAAAAAAAAGGCTAACAGCCTATAAGTCTTTTGATGTCCAGATATATACTGGAGCAGATCATCAAGTGACTTATTTGTAAGCTCCGAAGCAGAATTCCAGTTCATTGTATGCACCCAGATAGCAGTTTTCTAGCTATAAGTGACATTCTTAGCACTTAGGTTTAGCTTGTGATTCTTTTATCTGTACAGCATGGTTGTGTAAGCATCCATATAGCTGCTGAGCATGTGCAATAGACTACACACTGGCCTGGTTGGGCAGGTACTCATCTACTTTTGTGACTCTGCTATCCATCATATACATATACATATATATATATATATATATATATATATAGTCCAGGACCCCTACGGAGGGCCCTGCTATGTTTTAGGCAAATAAGCTAAGTAGTTAGGGTACTTGCTCGGGAAGTAAGAAACCCAGATTCTAAACTACTCTTCTCCAGAGTAGGGTTTCAGCCTTCATCTTATTAACTTTCTAGCAAAGTACTCTATCCACCAGCCAACAGGTTAAGGATTTTTCAATCTCCTCTTCAGGCTTCCTTTTGAAATTGGCCTGCTGAGCAGCAAAGAGAGAAAAATGTGTGGGCTCAGAAGGAAAAGCTAGAAAGTGTGTGATTCGGTGAGATGGAAGCTTCTCCAGAAGTGACCAGGACCTTGATTCTAGCCTGGGGCCTTGCTCTAAATTGGGGGGGGGGGG